ATCTGAAGCAAGTGCTTCCAATTTCTCTTCTTCCAGTTTCTCTGAGTGATGTATTTGGAGCGTCTCCTCAGCCTAGGGTATGTGGGGCAGGGAGAAGTCTAAGGGATGGATTTGATGTCACTCTTTACTAAGTAAATAACTCCACTTTAACTCCATGGCTCAAAAACCTCCAATGGATTTCCAATGCACTCAAAAATGAATCCAAAGTTATTTCTATGTTCCACAAAATCCTGCATGATCTGCAATCCCCCATCCCACCCTCCCAACACCCAACGGATCTCATTGTCCAACACTCTGTCTCTTGCTCGGGCCAGTCCTGTCCTACTAGATTCTCTGACAGCCCTTTGACAAGCCAAGCACGTGGATGCCTTCAAGCCTCTGCACCTCCTGTTCCTTCTGCCTGGACACTCTTCTTGGCTGTCTTCATCCCTTCTTTCAGATTTCTGCACAGAAGAGTGAAGCCTTCTCAGACCACCAAGCGGATAGATACTTTTGTGTTTGTTTCCTGTCCATCTTCCCCCAGCAAAATGCAAGCTTTATGAAAGAAGGGAATTTATTGACTTTGCTCACTGATAAATATCAAACAACACTGGCATATGGGAGGTACTTAGTAAATATTCTTCAAAGTTCCTACTTCCCAAAACTCTCCTAGAATTCTGTTTATTTTTGGTTGGTTTGGGGGATGGATCAATGTTAAAGGGCAGTTTTATCCTCAGAATTCAGCAGAATCTTGCTGTTCCCTTTAGAAGCGACGTACTTATCACTCCTAAATGGAGGAACTCATCAGTGTCATCCTCAGTTTGAGGGTATAGTTGAAATTCCTAAATAAGAGGAAAACCCCATTCAACATTCTTTCACACTTGAATTACTAATGGGTCTCACTGACATTTCTCTCTCCCCATGGTCTCTTCCTCCCTAATTGGCCAGGTTATTAATTCTGATGGGGTGTTTTTGTTCTGCTGGTGACAACACTGCACAATTATCTTATTTCACTATAAAACTCCTCAACACGGTATTTGAAGGGCTCCACAAACTTTCTTCCTATATTCAAATCGACCTCTCATTATTGCTGAAGGTAGATAATTCACTCATCAATCTGGTCACATTACTTTTCCACATAGGGCTAGGCTGATTCCCACCTCTTACTTTTTTATTTTTTTAAATAATTCTATTTAATTAATTTTCAGGTCACATTGGTTTATAACATTATATAAATTTCAGGTGTACATCGTTTCGTTTCAACTTCTCTATAGACTACATCACGTTCACCACCAAAGGCTAGTTGCCATCTGTCACTGTACATGTGTGCTCCTTTATTCCTTTCCCTCTCTCCTCTCTCCCTTCCTATCTGTTGTGTTTGTTTGTTGTTGTTTTATCTTCCATGAAACTGTGAAATGACGTGGTATTTGGCTTTCTCCATCTGACTATTTTGCTTAGCATAATACCCTCAAGGTCCGTCCATGTTGTCGCAAATTGCAAGATTTCATCTTTTTTATGGCTGAGTAGTATTCCAACCTCTTACTTTTGCTTATGTTGATCTTCTGGTCCAGAATTCCTCGCATCTTCTTGTTTACCAATTCAAGTCCACATCCACTTCTCCCATGAAACCCTCATTGTTTAGTTTAGGACACAGTGATCTTTGTTTATGTGTTTTTGTAATACTTGAAGCCCGAACTACACATGACAACATTTGATTTTACGTTGCTCTAAAACATTTGACATGCTTCATCTAGGCATGTTTTATATGCCCTAATACTCAAGGATACAGGGTTTCTTTTTTTTAAAGATTGGCACCTGAGCTAACATCTTTTGCCAATCCTTTTTTTTCTTTTTCTTCTTCTTTTTCTCCCCAAATCCCCCCAGTGCGTAGTTGTATATTTTAGTTGTAGGTCCCTCTAGTTGTGGCATGTGGGACACCACCTCAGCATGGCTTGATGAGCGGTGCCATGTCCACACCCAGGATATGAACTGGCAAAACCCTGGGCCACTGAAGCAGAATGCGCAAACTTAACCTCTCAGCCATGGGGCAAGCCCCAGACACAGGGTTTTGTCTTTTAACTTTTTACTTACTGAAAGTTATGTTAAACATTCTAGTAGATAATTAAATATTCGAGGACTTGCGTGAAAAGCAGAGAGCTAATATTTTCACCATATTACGTTTAGTTAGTCTTAGATTGAAAGTGTCCTGATCCTTTTTGGTAACCATAATCTGGAACAGTATTGAAGAACTTGGATATTACAAAAATGATTGACAAAAATGACGAAGTTGAATAGGGGAAAAAAACGGCCTGTGTAAATAAGATCAGGGAATCTGGAACTGCTTAATCTATAACAATTTAGACTGACATCTTAAAGTATATGAAGATTTTTTTTCCCCTTTGGCCCAAGAGAACATTTTGACAAGATAGTGATAAAAGAGTAGAATGTTAAAGAGCGCCAGTGGGGAACATAGCTCTTCATAAAAATTCGCTCTGGGGGCCAACCCAGTGGTGCAGCGGTTAAGTGCGCACATTCTGCTTCAGCGGCCTGGGGTTCGCTGGTTTGAATCCCGGGTGCAGACATGGCACCACTTGGGAAGCCATGCTGTGGTAGGTGTCCCACATATAAAGTAGAGGAAGATGGGCACGGATGTTAGCTCAGGGCCAGTCTACCTCAGCAAAAAGAGGAGGATTGGCAGCAGGTGTTAGCTCAGGGCTAATCTTAAAAAAAAAAAAAAATTTGTCTGAGCTGTATCGTTTTAATATTCACCCACATAAAGGTAGATACTAAAGAAATGATGTTCTCATACTCCTTTCTATCCTCAATGTTATTTTTCACTTCTTGAAGTAATAACTGGAGGTGATGATTATTGTAGTGGTGGCCACAGTGGTATATAGTCGTAAGAGAGAGAGAATAGTAAATCTACTAACAACTTGACAGAATTAAAAAGAAACGGCTACGACTAGACTGTCTGAACACTCAATGAATCCATGTACCAAACTGTGTGTAGATAGCACAGTTTTCATAGGAAACTTTATTAAGGTAGCTTAAACGCCAGTCCACGGTGCTCTAGAAGCTAAATAAACTCTAATTTTTACTTTATGAACAAACCTACATAAAAAGATCTATTCAAGGATTCAAAGTCTATATATGTTTCTGCATGAGCATACAATCTTTAGTAATCTATACCAAAAAGCTTCACTTGGTTTCCCCAATATTTAACATTTAATCGCATGGTTTAAGAATGTTTCTATTATTTCACTCTTAAACATCAAAGCAATCAAACCATTAATCCAGTTAATAATGGTACACATTTCTCAGAGATATCTTTCATTTCAAATTAGCAAAAAATTTTTTTTCTTTTTTTGCTGGGGATGGTTAGCCCTGAGCTAACATCTGTGCCAATCTTCCTCCACCTTTTTATATGTGGGTTGCTGCCACAGCATGGCTGATGAGTGGTGTAGGTCCAAGCCCAGGATCCGAACCCGTGAACCCAGACCGAACCCAGAACCAGAAGTGGAGTGTGCTGAACTTTAAATACTATGCCACAGGGCTGGCCCCATAACCGAAAAACTTTTCAATGTCATTCTCATTGGTTCTAATGAGAGATGTAGAGGTGTTAAACCCAGTATTCTTCTTTGATTATTATTCTTCTTTTTCCTTTTGTACCTGACTCACATCCTCAAAAGCAAAACTGTTCATGCCATCCCTAATAAGATAGGTGGTCTCGCTTCACATTGATGCTGTGCAAGAAAGAGAAGTTACAGTGACATCATGTCTACGTGGTATTTTCTAGACTTCAGTATTTCTCTGGCTTTTGTGGAAAAGTCAGCCTCTTGAATGTCACTTAAATGTAGTCTTTTCTGTAGTTGACTATCCAATGAACACAAAAAAGACATCTGTATAATGTGGAATTAATTTTGAGAGTTGGATAAAGCCCTTAGAATAATAATGGTGACTATACAAGTCACCTATGAAACTATTCTCTCATGGGTGGCATTAATTTCCTATCTACAGAGTCATATTAGTGAATGTGTTATGTTTGTAGCCCCAAGAAAATGAAATAATAATTTTCTTTTTTTTTAATCAGTCTATTAAAATGTCAAGGTTTATCTTGACTGCTGCTTTTTAATGTAAATGTTTGGGCTTAATTGAATTCCTAATATGTGATGTCACTTGGAATTCTGATAGGGTCCACTAATTTTCCCTGTAGAGATATATTTCTTCTTAAAATGAAAGGAATAACAAAAATATTATTTTACACAATGGTGGGAAAGTGGTCAACACAAGTCATTATGAGATTTTTACTGTAAAATCTTGACAGTGTAGGGACTAAGCTCATTTGCGCTTCTTCCTCTCCCAAGTAGCTACTGGAATGTTTTAGCTGTAAAGTTACCATGTAACTATTTCTGATTGTTTATTTGTTATAGTTGGAAATTCAAGAACTATTAAAGAGACTCAATCTTGAATGTCAGAGTTCCACCCTCTTTTTTTGAGAATAAGAATAAAAATAATTATTTTATATTCATCTACTGTTTTGCACATAGTAGGCTTTCCTTGCCATGATAAATTGCAAGAATAAGGGGTCACGTCCAAACCTCTGGGGCTTCATTAAAAACTTTAACTCCTTTCTGCTTATCAAACAGAGCTTATAAAAAAAGTGCTAAAAATAGGACATGTATGTCATCTAAGCTGTATCATTCTGGCAAGTAGACCTCAGTGCAAAATTGAAGTTCTATAACATTCACCTGAGAGCAAATCATTTCATTTGGGTTGACTCCTCTGTGAACACCTTTATGTTACGATCTCATTCAGTACAGCCAATGAATGTGGTAGTAGCATATATGAGTATATATGTATTAGCATATACATATTCTTTGCTGCAGCTTTTTAATTAGGAAGTTGTTGATGAAATAGACCTTTTGACCATTCTGGAAGATTAATTGAAAAGTAGATGAGGCTGACAGCAGCAATGTTAAGTGTTGTCTTTCCAGAAGTATTGATTATTCTATCCATTGCAGATCCCTTCATATTGATTGGATGTCTCCAGGGAAACCGAATGGCATCATTCTTGGATATGAGCTCTTACGGAGAACATGGCATTCTTGCCCTAAAACCCAGAAGTTAATGAGGGACCACAGTGCTGAGCTCTGTATGGCAGTGAAGTGTCAGACACCTGAAACTATGTGTGGACACAGGTGCTATTCTCCTGAAGCCAAGGTAAATCAAACTAGTCAGTGAAATATGTTTTTCTGACTAAGCATCCACATGAAATCACTTGCTTCTTAAACCATAGTTTATCATGATCACTATTTCCACTAGTCTATCAAGAAGACCCCGTGGAAATGGAAGGATGCTTATAAAAATCGTATCTTCCTCATGAGCATTTTTGCCGTCTCATTTTTCATCACCTTCCCCGGAAATATTAGTTTATTGCAATGATAAGGAGCCTCCTGAATTTGTGTTTGACTGAATGACTCGAATTTTCTTTACAACAAATCCATTCAGCTACAAGTGGGTGTTTATTTAAATGACACTGATGAGTAACTGTGAAGAGGACCTTGCATGGTTTGTCAGAAATATTTTAAAGTTATGGCCGTTTACAGATTAATGCTCATATTAGTTACAGTTTAGGAATCAGATCGATAATACAGCCAGACAGAGGAGTTTGTAAATGGCTTTTATTGACAAACGATGCAGAAAATCCTTAATTTGAAGGTAGGATTTCATATCATGAAATAATGTTCCTATTTGTCAACAACAATATCTGGCATTTAATGACTAAAGCTGCTACTAAATTCAAAGGATTCACAGCAAAAGGACACAGTAATTAAGAAAGTGCGTTATTGAAGCAATATGAATAAAATACAAATTATTATGGCTGACACTGGCTGAGCAGTAATTATTATCTCAGAAATATCATAAAACTAGCAATTACTAACTATATATTTTTTTTACACTTAAGCTCCAGAATTGTCACTATGCCTAAGTTTTACGTCATTTCAGTCCATTAAATGCACGCTGTCTGATGAGCGTATTTTCATAAAGTGAAACTAAATTTAGGATTTCTGGGAGGAAAAATGCTGGAATAAATCTGCCCATTAAAAACGCTCTCCAGGAGAAAGAAAGATGGTTCTGATGTATTAAACAAAGTCTTACTTTTATTTTAAAGATTAAGGACGCACACAGGTATTGTCAGTGAAAGAGAATAAAGGAAGTCAACTAAAATTTCAAGAGAAAAAAATTGCTTGTAAATTCCTGTTTGGGGTATACTATGAATATACACATCCTGAGTGAGAAGTTGGAGAGAGGTAGAAAAGAGACTTATTGTGAGTGTAAGGACTTTTCGGCTAAATCACTATAAACGTAAGAAGGACCTGAAATACACAAGCTTCACCATGTGGTTACTGCCAGGTTCTCAAACCCCATTGAGCATCAGACCTGGAGAGTTTGTTAAAACACAGATTGTGCCCAGAGGCTCTGATTCAGTAAGTCTGGGGTGGGGTGTGAGAATTTGCATTTCTAACAAGTTCCCAGGTGATGCTTCTGCATCTAGTCCGGGGACCACACTTTGAGAATCACGAGATTACAGAATTCCTTTTGGAAACCGTGTAGCAAGGAACAGGCTATTAGCTATACAATATGGCTATACAACCGGCTAATAGCTAGATACAATATAATATGAATATTAGCTATACAATTATCTGCTCAAGTAGTTGCCATTTCTATGCATGTTTTCCGAGACAACCAGCTTGAAGACTGATTTAGAAGATTAAGAAATATTCTGTTTATGGGGAGACCTCCTAAGAGAAATAATTGCTTGAAAATGTCCCCCTTGGGACCCATTGATGATCTAGACCAGAGTGAGTTAGTAGAAAGCCACAAGTTTCACGTGACAGAAGGAGCCTGGGGATGGCAGTGACAAAGAGAGAATGGAAGTGAACCAGTCCTAATAGCCCAACACTAAATAAATATTTGGGCGAAAATTTCAAAAGAGCATGATAAGTACTAGAGAAGCTTGCTGAAGGAAAAGATGAGATGTGCCAAAGTGTCCAGAAACACTGTATGTGAACGGGACGTTAATAAATGCTTTAAGACAATACAACAACGGGCAAGATTTTGGGTCACTATCATAAAACAAGAGGGAGATATGTGTTGTTTTATCCTGAATGCAAAATGCCCAGCCTTCCTAAATCCCAAATAAACGCACAGAGGTTTTTTCCTTAACTCTTAAAAATGGGGCATAATTTTGAGGCTGGCCCAGAGGCGTAGTGCTTAAATTTGCACACTCCGCTTCAGTGGCCCAGGGTTTGCCGGAGCAGATCCTGGGTGTGGGAACTACACACCACTCATCAAACCATGCTGTGGCAGCATCCTACGTCCAAAATAGAGGAAGATTGACAACAGATGTTAGCTCAGGGCCAATCTGCCTCACCAAAAAAAAGATCGGACATAATTTCAAAGTTTACTTTGCACACAGAATATGGCATCAAAAGGAAGGCTCACTCAAAAAAATTTATCCTTGGAATTAGACTAATTTTGAATCCTTGTTGCTAATAACTAAACACAGCACAGGAAATTCATTTCAGTTGGTTTAACAGGACCAATTAAGGAACCAGAGGGATAGACTCTGAATTTAAGAGCCCAATTTCTTCGCTCTGTGGTAACTTTTTAAAAATGAATGAAGTACTAAGCTAGTGGCCCTTTTGATGATGGAGAGATTCCTCATTCTACTGCCCTCGTATTGAGCTTGATTCAAATGTTGGTGAAGGCTGGAAGTAGCAATGAGCAGAAAGGAAAAGAGAAACAACTCTTAAATGGTGGTTGATTTTGCCTGCCACAGGAAGCATCTATCTTTTTTAGTGTAACTTATGCCAAGTATAGGTTCTGAGGCCGTATTTCAGCAACTATTCAAGGTTTCATTTGTTATATACACAGAGTGTCAGTCTTTCAGACCTCAGGTAGGCACGCAAATAATTATTTGATTGTTCAAGCACATAATTTCTTCCACAGCTCCTGGAGAAAACACCTTGTTAAGAGGGCTTTTCAAAATTAATTTCCATATAAATTTCCTCTTTTTTTAATGTGGAGATATATATATAAAAAAATAAATATTGGACTTCATTGAGATTGCTTTGTCTGAAGATTGGGTTCATAAATAACTGATCACAAAAATTATAAGGGAAATGCAATTTATTTTAAAAAAAGAAAGATCAGTGAGAGACAGGTTTCTGTGGATGTGGTGTTTTCAAATGGAACAATCATTAAAATAAAAACATATATATGAAGAAATTGTTCATTGACAATTCTAAATCATCTTTGCATTGGAAGCACTGACATTCAAAAGGTAATTCATATTTATAGAATATTATGATAGAGCACAAGGCATGGTTGAAGCCTAAAAATGCTACATTGTATCAAATAGCATTTATGTAATTTCATGCTGAAAAAATGATTTTGGTTTTTGGTTTTTGGTGAAGAAGTTTCTCCCTGAGCTAACTTCCTTTGCCAATCATCCTCTTTTTTTTGCTTGAGGAAGATTAGCCCTAAGCTAACATCTGTGCCCATCTTCCTCTACTTTGTATGTGGGATGCCTCCACAGCATGGCTGGTCAATGCATTAGGTCCATGCCCAGCATCTGAACCAGTGACCCTGGGCCGCCAAAGCAGAGTGCATGGAACTTTAACCACTTGACCACGGGATGGCTCTGAAAATATATTTTTTAAACTTTTGACTTTTTATCAGGAGTATGCTACATTTGATCTCAGATCAAGGCCTTATTAGAAAACAAATATATCACATAACAGATGGTGGTATGATACTCTTAATTTAACAGCTCTTTCTTCAAACATGATCCCCACTTGCAGGTTTGCTGTAATGGAGTTCTCCATGACCCCCAGCCTGGACACAGCTGTTGTGAAGAGAAGTATATCCCATTTATTCTGAATTCAAGCGGAGTTTGTTGCAGTGGCCGAATACAAGAGGCGAGACCAAACCACCAGTGTTGCTCTGGGTACTACGTTAGAATTTTACCAGGTGAGTGTCACGTCCAGGCGAGAAGCAGAAAATGCAAACACGATTTATGTCAGTGAACTTTTACAAGCTCCTCTCCAACAAAAACTGAACCACTAACACGTAGCCAGTGGCCCACTTTAAATATCAATTCTTCTTGCAGCTTTGTTGAAATATAAGCAAGGATGGGTACAAAATTGACAGGGACTACAGGGGACTTCTGGAATCTACTACACAAGGAAATATGTCTGGATAGCTGAGTAACTCCCTTTATTTTATTCTCATGGCTAAATATTTTCACCGTAAACACTGTGAATTTCTACGTGTTCCACTCCCTGAAGCTATTCTCCATTTCCTCCATTTCTATTCTGAGCAAAGCGTTCACAGTTCCTGGATAGATTATTACCACAAATTCCACTTATCTGAGACTAGTCCTCTGTCAGGCTAGGTGGGGCTGAAAGAGGGATACACCAAAGAGTGGCAAACAGGGATTTTTCCCTCCTCAGCTTTTTTTGCTTCCTTCTATCTATCAGACAATTGAATAAGCCATTTTCCAAATTTCAACCACACAAAACCATTGTCCAGTGAATGCAATTGAGAATAAAAATAATAACAATTAGTATTAATAAAACAGCAAGCCTCTGGCAGGCTCTGTGTTAAAAGCTTTATGTATGATACCCTTTATATCTTCCACCTCTATAGGAGATGGGTATTTTAAATCTTAAGTTTGAAAATAAGGAAAGAGGTTTAGAGAGGATTATAAACATGCCCAGATTCACATAGATGGGCATGGAAGAGCTGAAATGCAAATCTCAGTGTGTCCCTCTAAAATCTATGCTCTTTTAAGTACTCTGGCTTGTTCTTATATAACTGAAATTGGCTCAACACAAGGTTGACATAAGGGAAGCCATATTGTAGAAAAGAGACCGTGTTGTAACTTTGAATGACCTCTGACTAACTAACTCAGCTGGATATGCACCCTCCAGGAGATCCACATGTTCTGTAGAATTTAGGACCCCTGCTTGTGCTTATACCTCCCAGCTGCGATAAGACGATAGCTTCATTCTTTTGAGTTCCTTAGGAATATGATGACCCCCAAACAGAGAGTCTATGCTGATAGCCATCATCAAGGACAAGTGAAAGATCTCGTGTGGCCACTCCCAGTCTGTAACACCAGAGGGTCAACATTCCTACCCCCTCCCCTATAACCCACTGGCCTATAGAACTGCTTCAAGATTCTGCACCCCCATTAGGATGGTTCTTTTGCACATTAGTTGACCATCTTCCCTCTTGCTAGCAAGCTATAATAAATGCCCTTTCTCTGCCACCATCTTGCCTCTTGATGATTGGCTTTTGTCTTGCGGCGGGCAGATCATACCCATTGTGCAGTAAGGTAACCATAACATGTTAATATGTATTAACATAGTTTTTTGACTGACTATTCCAAACTTCAAACATCTTCATTACTGCCACAGTCGATTACTATCTATCCTGGAAAAAACATTGAGAACACAGATTTTTTTTTTAATTGAGGTAGTATTGGTTTATAACATTATATAAGTTGTCGGTGTACAACAGTATAATTTGGCATCTGTCTTTGGCATGCTCACCACCAAAAGTCTAGCATGAAATTTATGCCAAACGTCTAGTTAACTCAAGTATTGTTCAATGTATCTTTGTGTTTGGTATAAATATATCCTTCCAAGGCATGTGAAAGGAGAAATTGTCTCACGGAGCATCTCTTTTGCAAAACACTAGAGCAAAAAGGGAAGGTGAAGTGATTAAATACTATGCAAGTTTATTCAAGGCAAAGATTCTCTTTTCTTTGTAATTGTCCCTTAAAAATAATAGAAAAATCTGTCCTTATAGCAGTACTGTTATTTCTGATTCTTTCATAATTAGTATTTTCATAAAATACTTTCATAATTGAATATCTCTTAATCAGCTAGATTTTCCAAGTAAGAAAACACAACGGTGATGGAAACAAGGATTTTGTAGAAGTGTTAACTTCTTTATGCTACAAATTATAGTGTTAGCAACAATCAAACATTGTCAAATGTTTTACTCTCTCAAAATAATTTACAGTTTTGGAGTTTTTAACTATGTGTTATATCTTCGCTCCCCTGCAAAGAATTGCCTTGCAAATTATAATTACAGAGATGAGATGGAAATTTTCTGTTGTCCCATTCTTCCCATTCTTCAGACCAATAGACCACATTAGGCTTTTCTCTAAGTCTAGCATAGAACTAAATGATAGTGTTCTCGTCTCTAAGTCATATGAAAATTTTTGATATTATGACTTGTAATTAACCGTTCAAACTCTGAGAAATATCCTCTGTCCCCTAAAATTGATGAAAAATACTTGGTTGCATTTATCATGGTGATTAACTCTTGTTGCCTTTCTCAATCTGTACAAAAAATGCGAGATTTTAAACTAAGAAAACAATCTACTTTTGTTCTATTTTGAAACAAAATCTCACATTTTTTTCCTGAAAATGAAATAAACCCTGGTTGCTCAAAGGTCATTTATTGATATTACACAAAACTTTTTAATAAGTAATTTTTAAAACAAGAGTTTTTAAAGCCTCTATGATCTGTATATTGACACATGCTCACTCAGACCTCAAGCATTTTAATATCTACCAAACTTGAGCATGGCCCACATTCGGATTCCATTTAAGTAGTTCATTTTTCATAGTATTAGAATACCTCCCTTGGTGTCAAGAAAAAAACAATGCAATCTCACAGGATAATCAAAAAGAGTGTTTTGCTCCAATCATTAGTCTCCATGTACCTAAACGAAGACAATGTATTGTCATCTGCATCTTCGGCCAATGGTCTTTGTTAACTAGTCTAACACCATTTACAACAAGAAAGAAAGGATAGTGACCCCAAACCGTCTTATATCTAAATGTAATTCAGGTTCGATCAGTAGTCTGCCAGATCAAGGCTGAGATGGGGTATAGGCATTTTGGTATTTAAGTCTGAAATATTGGTTAATAATATTTACTTCATTTTTTTCTCACAGTTTTCCTCCGTAGCACCACATAGTAAACAGCAGCAGAAAAAGGAATGCTCATTCCACTCCCCTTTTTTTATAAATATGCTAATGACCTGAAGCTAAATGTTAATGTGGGTCATTCTTTGATAAGAATAACAATTAACTGTGAAGCCTGCATGGTCGCTTTTAAAGAGAAAACATTTTCAAGCCTCTTGTGAAATAGATTCATTTTGAGAGGTTAATGAGAAGGTGACTGATCCTTGTATCTTATGTCTAATAGCCCTTTTTTGAGGAGAAAAAAATCAGTTTTACTTTTCATTGATATAATCCACATCTCTTTTTTATGAAGCTTCATCTTCTGTCAGTCACTGAATAAGATTCTGAGGGATTCAGGGAGCCATGGCTAACACATCCAAACCAATTAGTATTTTTATACTCAAAAGTGACTTCAAAAAAAAATTGTTGGTTTTCCCCAATATAGACGTGTACGCTATGTTTTCTTTAAGCCCGCCATTGTCCTAAGGGATGTTTAATTTACTGGTGCTGCCCCTGGACCATGTGACATAGCATGTTAAAGCAAGTTTGCCAACAAGGAGCACTGTGTTCTCTAGCTGTAAAGATTTAAGAAATATGGCAACTACATTTGAGACCAAACAGGAAAATCCTTTTACCCAGAGGAATGTAACAAATTCAGTAACTTTGCTGTTCACGGTAAGCTCATTAGCCTTCATTGGCCTCTAGCAGAATCATCATGAAAAGTTTAGTAAGTCCTCTTCTGCTTATAGATACTATGTTGTGGGATCCTTTCAAAGACTATTGTCACCACTCTAAAAGGGGGTCCTCTGCCTGATGTTTACATAAAAAGCCAATAATTACGCCATTGGCTTTTGAGAAAAGAAAAGGTTTTATTGCAAGGTCAACCAGCAAGGAGACAGGAAGCAAGACCCTCAAATCTGTCTCCCCTATCCAGAGTTTGGGGCAAAATTTAAGAGGTTAGGGCAAATGGGCTGATACACGGAAGTGCCAGTGGGGCAAGTTTCGATGGGAAAGCTTTAAACATTTATGGTAAGGTGTGGAAAGGAACTTTAACACTGGCTCTTCCTAGACAATGGACCCCTCGTTTCTGATAAGAGTCTGACTTTCAAGTTCCGGTTGTATGCTGGTCCTTTTGATTCCATAGGGAAAGAATCTTTGGTTCCAGGTGTTATTTCGGGTCAAGATTTTCTCCTCTGTGCATGCTCTGGCTATGCAGCTTGCATTTTTTGCTCACTGCCCCTGAAAAATGACCCTTAATCACTCTGTTGGTAAGATGGGGTCAGGTTGAACTGGTCCCAGAGGGCTCATGATTACATTATCAGCTAAGCCGACTGTCCTCTGAATTCTAGGAATTCAATCTTGAGAGAAAATTGAGTATGCCTTGGCCCACTCCTAAATATTTTCTCTAGAGAAATGAAAACTTATGCTTACACAAAAATCTTCACATGAATGTTTATAGCCATTCTATTCATATTTGCCAAAAACTAGAACGAGCCTAAATGTCCCTCAGTGGGCAAACTAGTACATCCACACACAGGAATACTACCCAGCAATCAAAAGGAACAAACCATTGAGATGTACCAAAAAGGCATTATGCTGAGTGAAAGAAACCAATCTCAAAAAGTTACACTCTGCGAGATTCCATTTACATGACATACATGAAAAAACAAGCTATAGTGATGGAGAACAAATCAGTGATTGCCGAGAAAGGATAATGGGTGGGAGGAAGGTGTTGACCGTTAAGGGGTTTTGGGGGATGATGAAACTCTTTTGTATCTGATTGTATCCTTGTGTGAAAATTCATAGACTATGCATCCAAAGGAGGTGAATTTTAACTGGATGATATTTTTTAAAATAAATTTTATAAAAAGGAGTATGTCTTAGCATTCTGTTTCCGTTTTACAAATAGGAAAAATGAGACATATGGCCAAGTTACACAGCTAGTCAAGATTAGAATTTTCATGATCAAATATGAGATTGAGCCATT